GATTCACAGCTTTACGATGAATTCTCACAATTGTAACAAAATAGAACAAAGCACATGACTAGTCCACCGCCTTCATTTATCAATCACCTTGGAAAAATGATACTACGTTGACGGACGAAAGAAATTCACAAAATGTAAATAGTAATGATGCTAGGCCACTCTAACTCCCACCCACCCCACCCCACCCGGTCAAGGGGTTAGCAACTTATCGACCCGGAGGATGAGTTTGAATCTCACCACAACCGCCACCTAACTTCCCCACTGTATCTGTGTGCGTACGCAGCCTTTCAATTGGCCGCTTCCTACTACCGGAAATTTTGTTTTGTATCGGAAAAGGAAGTAAACAGACAAAAGATAATTTTACAAGAGACGAGTAAAAAAAACATCCTAATAAAGCTCGGTCACCAAAGCAGGATGGCCGATCTATCGTCTATTAGCGTACATAGCTGTGGACTTGAAAAGAAAATTGTGACACTGCTGTTTCTTCTCATCTCGTTCGAAATCAAGTTGTCTGACTCTGACTTCTCGCCTTTGGGTAAAGTCTTACAGACTGCAGATATGGTAATACCTGCTTAAAGTTAATTACCAGCAGCTGTCAACTTGTCTGTACATTTAGACCCTACTGCACATATCTATTCTGCCCCTTATCGTTTATTTCCCACGTGTTTATCACCTATGCATAATTGAGCTATTTATTTTGGACAAACTGTACTCAGACTATTCAATAATTTTTCACATTCGTTTCGATTCAGTCAGAAGCGAGAGCTGAAGTTTGGTAACAAATACAGTGGCCTGATAAATGCCAGGCAAACCATCTTCCCGAAATTCGAATCGGAATGCAGTTGCAGTTAATGTTGGCTCAGTTCTATAACAAGGATGAAACAGCTAGATAACACTTTTCACTGGTCAGTGGTGAAAAGAAAGTTGTATAAAAATTCGCATCTCCAAAGCTACCACATCAACTGAACAAAATGTGTATCTCCCGGAAAGATCACGTCAATGAACAAAGCGATACGCACTATAGCTGAGTGTTCTTATGCGTAGTCTATATCCATGTCATGAGCGATCAATCCAAGTTGCTATCTGTGTTATATTATACACCCACTCACCCAGCCAGATTCATCACTTACCTCGCCTTTGTTTGTATCGAAACCCCTTCCCCGTACTGTGATGCACACACAGTGCTGAGTACCGGTCACTACACCGTATGTTAAACACACACATGACCTGGAATTTCTCACAATGTACCGGCCGATTCGACCGACACAAGCACATCGGCCAAGTCTGGTTGGTTGTCACACTGTGGAAAATTTCCATGACTGGAACCATGGATTATCCAAACCCTTTGCTATTCCGCTATTGTTGTCAACTCCCCGATCGCACACTAACGGGATTTGAGGGCGGTTCTCTCCCTAGCTCGCTGTGATCACGCAATTCCTCTGTGCTACCTCTTTTTTGTTGTGACTCTGCTCCTTCGCCGTGCCGTGAAGTGAATAAGTACTGATTGGGATATGTGGTCCCTCCACCGCCCTCCCCCCCAGACACACAAGCGCACACACACAGCTGGAGTGTAAAATACATCCTGTGATGTTAAGACAATTAATAAAAATGAGAACAGTTCAGAATGTCCCGTTAAACAACTTTAGCAGCTAAACGCATCAAAGACTGCAGATAGCATTTTGATCAAGACTTGAGGATAAATGTCATCTGTTCAATCGCCGACCTTCAACCATGACACATCATGCGCGTCACCCTGAATCTGCAATCGTTCTTCTATCCGTCTGTTTAACGGGTGATGCAACTTGATTGCAAATGATTCACTAGTTATTGAGATAAGATTTATCAACGTATGTGATATCGGCTCTATCGGGGCGGTAGGTAGGTCAGCCGCGGGTGAGAATCAACAAAAGTTTAATCAATTTGATCAACTGGAAGAGAGAGAGATTAAAAACACAATTATTATGGCCCTATATCGGCCACTCTCTACGGATTAACAGGCATGCAGAGAGAAGGAAACATCTTTGCGCATACACTGATTTGATCTGAAGGTTCTGATTCAAAATGAACAAATAATACGATCAGAAAACCGGAGCTCGAAGCATGAAATCCCGGAACAAACAAAAAGACAAATCCGGTCTGGTGTAACGTCACCCGTTCGCCGCCATTACCCCTCCCCCCCTATCCGCAATCCCGCTGCAAACATGATTTTCCCTTTACAACTCTGGTACTTGGCTATTACTGTCCCCAATCGACGGATCTTCGTGTTGAATTTTTCTTCACTCTGATCTTGATCAGCTCCCATCATCATACGAATGAAAGATACTATTTCTCTATCTCTGTTATACCTTAGGTAACTGTTTGTTTGATCTCCCTATATTCGTTGCGATTTCTCTTAAAACAGCTCTTTCAGACTACCCTAAAAGCCCGAGATACTCTGCATTAGATAGATTGGGTGGGTAATGTGTACAATTCGATCAATCGTTGTGCTGTCTTGTATTACCGCTCGTAATCTACGCCTTACGTTTGCGGCTAAAAGTAAAAGGAAGGGATTCCGAATTCTACGGTACATGGAAAACGAACATACGGAGTATCTCAAAACAGGTCACCAGATTTGAATTAGAAAAAAAGAAGTTTCAGTGAGGTTGAAACAAATGCACGGATGACTCCGTCCGTATGCCGCACGCTCTGCCAAATGAATGCGCTATGAGGATAAACCGCGGGCGTGGGTGTGGGATACGGCGGCATTCAAGCGTGGGTTTATAGTTCACCAAGGATATTGATATTTTCACATTTCAAACAATAGGTCAATAGGTCTCTCAATTAACTGCCAAAATATACGAATGCCCAATTGGATAGTTGCGAAGCTGAGATAGAAAACCATTCAGAACAGCTGACACTTACATTGACAATCACGCTGGCTGTGGCGGACATGATCCGATGCAAAGGACCACGACGATCACCCAAATCTCCATTCTTGACGGATATGGGATTGTGTGCGAGCACGTGAAATCGATACTGTGATTTGATTTCATAGTCCAATGGGCGTCGAATCGAGATCTTACCAGTATCCTCATTCAAATGAAACCAGTAACTAGGTGGGGCGGCCATCAATTCATCACGTGAGGCTGGCTCCTTCATGCTGGGAAAATGTGTCCGATTGGACCGAGTTCGGGCGACCGCATTAAAATTTTCCGGCCAATCGTATCGGATCACTGCGTTCGGACCCTCGTCGGCATCTACTGCCATCAGTTGAATAATCTCATTACCTGTCATACCCTCGTCCACCGTGGTCTCATAAACAGCCTTGGTGAATTGCGGGGCATGATCATTCGTATCTACCACTCGAATTTCGAGCAACAAAGTGCCCGTGTGTGGCGCACTCCCACCGTCAATCGCCAACACTCGGTATTGATAACGTGAGACAGACTCGCGATCCAGCGGTTCCACGAGGACCAATCCCAAACGGATAATATTGCTTCGTGGTTCGTCTGCTGCGAATGGATGCGTGTCTCCATTCAGCCCGAGTCGAGCACCACCATTATCCCAGGTCAGTTTCAGACTAAACGGTGTCTGACTGGTACGAGAATGCGCGTAGCTGTTGGGCTGGGTGTTTAGAATCGCCGGCTCCAAACGTTCCAGTTCGTAACGTTGCACATTGAACGGGGGTGCGTCAATATCCTCAGCCAAGGGAAGGGGAATGTAATGGTCAACAGGTACAGCTTCTGACACGTTTATTGTGTACTGAACAGTCTCGGATAAAAACAGATCTTTGTTTGATCGGGCGACTGATGAAGAACCGGGAACGTTTTCGGCGTCTGGAATCTGTGGACGGAGAGGAGAATCGAGTAGGGAATAGCGTATACAGTATTTGATATGCATTCTCATTCGTCACCAAGGAAATGAAATAAACACTAGTAATCAGTTGATTTCAACAGTGAGCAGTTTCACATTTAAAACTTACCGGATCCTCCCCCTCCCAGATTGGGCGAGAATCAAAGTGAGTTGTACGTAGCAGAACAAACAGAACTTTTCTATTGCCATGATTCAATGTTCTACATGAGGTGCTCATGAGTGTTTTTCGATCATGTATAGCTGGGGTAGATGGGCAAGTACTGGTTATCGGATACTCTTGATGGTTCAGAGATATTTATGCCTGAATAAAAGAAACTCGCAGCCTGAACAACCTCAAAAGGGGCATTCTCTACATAACCAAACCGAGGACAAATAATGGTTGTTGATCGCAATAGTAGCAAATTGAGTGTGAAAGTGCATCAAACAACCGAATAGCTTTGAAAATACATTTCAAAACATTATCCACGTTACATGTGATAAAAATGTTTGTGATAACCGACAAAGAGCACTGGACAGCTGTTTCGTCCTGTTTGGGACTCGTCAGCGTACTTTTGGTGTCCCTAGTGCCTCTTAACAATCGAATGGTCTAATCCAAGCGTGCTACTCTAAAAAGATCTTCAACTTAGTTTATGCAATGGGCAACCAGAATTGTGTAGTGATCTGTTGATGGTTGTTGTTGTTGTCTAACCAGCGGAAAAAAGCAAAACATGAGTGCAAAACAAATGGGTTTCAACCCCTAGCATCACCCGACTTAGCAGTCCACTTGCATTTACCGGTCAACGCATAAACTGTGTACTCCATGATAACTGATCCAGATATTTCATTATGCGCGACGAAAAGCTTGCCGAATCAAATGAGAGAGTGGTAAAATCACACTATATATCTTGAGTACACATCTGTCTTGATAAATATTAGAAGGGTTATGAACAATATAACCATGAGATCCAAATATTGAGTCACGAGAACCGGTTCATGGAAACGAAGTGGATAATCCTGAACGAGAGTTGATAAACTTGCAGAACCTATAGAAGTTCCTGGAATATCTGAATAGGAACACGATAGCTGCCTACAAATATAAAAGTTGCTTATTTCTTGTACTACAGATAGACAAATTCTCTGTCTTTCTGTCCTTTGTTCGCTTGCTCTGGGAAAACGATTAACATGGGTACAGAATTAAACGCGGATAAAGAAAGATGATAGACCNTGATAGACCACAAACGGAATTCTCATCAATCATAAATCACACCTGTCAAATAATTTCACATAATTGAACAACGCATGTAATTGGCTGACAGGAAATTGACTGCTGTTGAATCGTTTGACGAAACAATGCGACTAAACAAACAAAAGTCCAATGTAACCGTGATCACCTGATGTGTGTTCTGACCATAGAAAATGAAATAACTGT